CGCTCCACAATTCAATATCTCGCGTAACGTACGATAAGTAACCTTTTCGAAAGAGGGTGTTAGATTTGGCTAGTGGGTGATTAAGGCTTTCGGTTACTTTGGGTCAACGAATGCAAGTAGGGTAAGTCACGTGTACAAGGGCTTGAACAGCGACGTTATAGGGGTTCACAGGGTTTGTAACGGTAATAGTGTTAGTGTTTATTACGTACAATATAATGTATTGAGATTTATTATTTAATAAAGCAAACGAAGCGTGCTGCTCCAAAGGGCCATTTCGGCCTTTATTTATAATATCTTTTTCATTATAACTTCATTAATTACATTAATCTCATTAAACCCTTTAATTCGATTCCTCTAATTTATTTACTTAAACCCATTTACTTAATAAATCCCCCTTCTCTAATTAATCCCCTTTCTCTAATTAATTCCACTTCCTTGATTTATTTAATTAATCACATTAATGCGATTAATTGTCAGAATATCTATATCGAGGAATTGATCGTCATACACGTTCTCATGTGAGGTCCCGACAGAGTATTTACATCACGTTATTGGACCTCACACTATATCGGAATTATCTACTATATTACTGAAGGTCTGTAGATTGTATAAAATATCTGTAAAACATCATGCAAGTTCATGTAGATTCAAGTAGTTTTTTAGCTAGTAATTTTACGGAGAAAAGTTAGTGGTTTGATTTCTGCGGGATTCCATTGTTATTGGCTAATTTTGAAGATCAACCCGTGATATTGAAAACTTTGATTGGTTAATCAATAATCAAAAAATCGAAAATATTTTATACGAAGCTAACTGTGACACAAAATATTTTATATAAGACTAAATTATCTTAATAAAAGTATTACTACAAATGTCACAGCTAAAAGTCTATGATCATAATCCTAGGACAGGCGAAATCGCATCTTATACCAGGAACGGAGTTTGTACAATGTACAATGTGTGTATGGTTTACAGGCAAGTTAATGTGTCTGTGTGATTCTCAGCATATGATTGGGTAATCTGTCATCGTGACTTTGTGTAGCACCCTGAACAATACTTTAAAAGGTAGGTACCAGGAACAAATGCCTCTGTACGCAACATCTTGGAATTGATTGGTCCGCGTAACTTATTCATCATTCAATATTTTTAATAAAAATATAAATAGGCGCATACATCTGTAAAATCGAAGATGCTATAACAAAGGATAGTAAAAATAAGTTTTTTTTAGGCACAAAAATTAGTGTCCCAATATAAATTTAAAGGCCTCAATGCTAAATATTTGGTAATTTTAATTTTTTTTCATTGAATTTTTTATCAGGCAGATAAAATGATAATCACTGATCGTCAAGGACTTAATCGAAAGAATTTTTCGATTATTTCTAAAATACAGATATGTTTCGTAGATTTTTAATGTTTTTTGCAGGGTTCCAGAACTTTGAATCAGATTCATTGGAACTGAGTGATGCTAGCTAAACAACTATATAGCAGTCAGACATTGACTTCATTAGGCTCAGTTACTGAAATTCAAACCAATATTCAGATTGCAAGTACTATCAACTTCTTTTATAAAGAGTCATTTTCTTATACCAGGAATGGATTGCAATGAATAATATGGTTTCCTGTGCCTGAAATGGTGTCTGTGTAGATTTCACTGTTCCTGGTTTTGCGCAACAATGTTGTGCAGTTACTTATTAAATAAATATACGAATTAAAAAAAAAAAAGTCCTCGGAAAAATAAACTAGAAGATACAGAAAACACATTACAAACTACTAAAAAACTTATAAATCAATCTCAATCAAAACACTAGTCTATTTGCGTCAAACTATTTTAATATCAAAATTCTTCTTAAATGTTATTACGTTCTAATTCATGAAATATACAAACCTTATGTTTCATTACATCATCATGTTACTAAACTATTTCACTAGACCATTCCACTGTCTGCATCTGTCTAGGAATCATAAATAAATTAAATTAAATTAAATTAACAAAAAACCAATTCTTAAACTTAATAGATTCAATACATTTGTATGTTATTAATGACTTATTTTGCTAAATTGAAACGTTCAAATAAACCTCTTATCTAACTTCCAAATTACCTCATTAATTACTGAATTACTTTAATATATTGTATATTCGAAGGTGTATATTCTAATTTTTATATCATAACACCTATTCGTGGTTGCAAATTTCTTGGCAACGAATCGTTACTTTCTAACATTTAGATCTACAAAATCAGCCAATCATTTTGAAGCCCAGAATTCTATATTTTTTCACCATCCACAATTTTTTTCATGATCTCATCCAAATTTATTATAAAGAATGGAAAACATTTAAAAAATATTAAGCATTAGCTAAAGGTTAAATACATTTTACTAAAATAACATCATATATAAATTAATTTTAATAAACCAGTCTCAAAATTAGATCTAGGTCACTCTCAAGTGCCTCAATCAATGATTAAAAAGTGTCAGGGAATAAATTTTATTTAGCAGAAAATATTTAAAATCAATTACACATGTTTATCATTATAATAAATATGCACAAATTGATAAAATTTATTATGTAATAACCTATTTTTTATTAGTAAAAGACTTTAAATGAAGTTTTCATTTTAATCAACAAACATTTTACAACCAAACCACCTTTTTTAATAACTGCATTTGAAACTTTTACGATCAATAGAGTATTCAAAGAAATCACTCAAGCAAATTTGCCATGGATAATTATTTTCGACATCAATGAATTTTTATTTTATTCCTTGCACTAAAAGTTTTTATGAGAAATAAGCAAATCAGGAATTCCAAGAAATAATGACAAATAATTATCATCTTTTAGTTTTCATTCAAATGACAACAAATTTAACTATTCTATTGTTAATTTCTATATTGGATACAGTAACTCAACAACAATGAAAACCTAAAACTGGCAAATTCTGAATTAATGTTTTTCAATATTTAACTGATAATGAGAGTTATAATTCTTTTTACTGACATTTTTATATTACCCTCTCAACATTTAAAGCTATTGTTTTTCAATTAGAAACACATTCTGCCTTTAGGTCTGAAGCATTTAATGCAACATTCATATGAAAGCAAATTGCTATTATTTTATAATATTTTGTAAATAGAACAGATATTTGGGTTTTAGAACAAATTCTTAGAGTTAGTCAAGGATCAGTTATTTACTTCACAGATTGATTCTTGGAAACATTGTTGGATTTTGAGTAGGAAAGAATAAAATGGCCACAAGGTGCACAAATTACAACAGTTATTCAAGAATTTGAATATGGAATAAGTAGTTTAGAGCATAACTTACCTAATGTTATCAGTGCAATGGATGGATTGCATATACCAATTCATCCTTCTATTAAAAACAGTGCACATTTTGTAAATCATAAAAATTTTTATTCAATTAATTTTCTTGGAGTTGTAGATAGTCATGAATGATTTACATATATATATGCTAAAGAGGCAGGTTAATATAAATATTACATTATTATTTATTTATCTTTTAAATATTTTTAATTATGACTAAATTATTTATATATTAAACATTTAATTTATTATTAAATTATTTTTAAAGGAAGTATTCATAATACATGTGTATTTTATCAATCTTCTCTTTATTATAAAATTTCTCACAATCATGAACAATGGGTACCAGGTGGTTCATATATTATTGCTGATCCTGCATATCTTCTTAAAACATATTTAATAAAACCATTCCTGATAATAATGCATTAACTAGTCATGAACGATGATTTAACAAAAAACTTTCTTCAATGAGAATGATTATTGAAAGAGCATTTGAATATTTAAAAGAAAGATAGAGAATTTTGTTAAATAAACTTTATTATACAGATTTGGAATGAATTGTTCAAATAATTCATACTTGTTGTATTTTATACAATTTGTGTATTGATAGAAATGATTTATTATTTAATAATAACAGTTATAAAAATAGTAAAATTTTTAATAATAGTGAATTGACTATTAATAACAATAATAATAATAATAAAATTGTTATTGATGATGAAAATGAGGAAGTATTTATTACAAATATAGGAAGAAACAGAATGGCAGATATACAAAAAAGAGAATACTTAGCAAATTATTTAGTTTAAAATAGCAATAATTATGTATTTATTATTATCTGCAATTATATATTTATTATTATTTGCAATTACTTTATATAAAATAATATTAATAAAATAGTTACAAATGATCTTTTAAAATTTTAAAAGAAATTATTTAAAAATTTCCATTTGTTCATTATGTTGTTGTTGTTGAATCTTACTTATATGTAAATATTACTCTTTAATAGTTTCAACAATTAATTCTTTTTGTTTATTAATGTATATTAAAATAGATTTTTTTTTATCATTAACACAAGTATTTTTTTTCTTTTTAGTATTGATCTAATTAATAAAATAAAAATTAACTAAAAAAATAAATAACTTAATTAAAATAAATAAATATAAAGTTTTATATTATTTCATTATTATTGTCACTTGCATTATCAGGTTTAGAACATTTAATTCCATGAATTGAATCACTAGTAATAAATGAAATAATACTTGGAAATTTTTCATATAAATATCTATATTATCAAAGAACTCCCATTCATTCTGTATAGCTTCTTCATCAGTATTTTTAATTACATCTTTAATATTTTGATATTTTTGATAAATAGATTCCCATTTTTGTTGAATTGAGGTTTTTGAATGCATTTTTAAATTTGAATTTGAAGATTGAATTTCTAAAATGATCTTATTCCAAATATGATCCTTTTCTCTTTGATCTTTTGCTTTTTGTAATGTCTTGAATTGTTTTTCTACTTCTTCAGTTAATATGCGTATTTCTGATAAAGTTCATCTTTTTGTTGATTTATTATTAGATACTTTAGAAGAAACAGAGTTTGTATCTGAAATCAAATCATCATCAGAAACTGGTTCTGAGATTTCAAGTTTGTTCTTTAATGATGAATTTTCTTGATTAATTATCTAATGAAAATTATTGTTATATATATATAATAATTTTATTTTACAAATAAATATGTATTAAATACTTTGAACTCAACAGTGGCTTTGTTTAAAGCTAATGGATTCATAAAAAATGAAAGAGTAGGATATTGCTGATGAAATAGCATATTATAGTTGGTGAGATCAGTAAATAGAGTACTAGAAATCATCGAAGTTGATGTTTTGCTAGAGTTTTGATGATCAGTAACATCTGTTACATTCTTTTGGATGGATGCTTTTGTCTTTTTATTTTTTGTTTTTTTAATTTTTGTTTCTTTAATTTTTGACGAAGACATTTGAAAATAATAGAAATCAATAAAGAAACGCTCAAGTACTGACTTTAATGATTATTTTGATTGATTATAATAAATGAGCACTAGTACAATCACTCATTAATCACATCGCAATTGTTGCTTGAGAAGATTTCATTACGTCATAAATTTTGTATTCAAATTTTTTGCAAAAATTTTTATTTAAATATAATTATGCTTGAGCACTATTACGATCACTTGCTAATCACATTGAGATTGATGCTTGAGAGCGA